CCGCCTGGACACCTAGGACACCTAGGATGCAAACTACAGTAAGTAAACAAAGGAGCCGACTGATCCTGTTGCTTACTGACTGTTTGGACTGGAGTATAGGTTGCACACCTGAGCCAACTGCCAGTCGCCAACCTGCCACGGCTGGCCGCAAGGAGGCTGGAAAATCTCCTGGTCCCGATTTTTCAAGGCTGGTCACTCCTGCCCTACTGGGAGCGCTTTGTACCAGATCCTAGCCTTGCCTTTCAGCCCCAAAGCAGCCCCTGGACTGTTTCTGGTTCCTAAGGGCTGGTGGGACAGGTGGCTGTACCTCGCCTTCAAACAACCAGTGGAATTGTTGAATAGTTCTTTCTCACCAGACAGGATTTTCCCAGTTTGGTGAGCCTAAGGGATTCACTTGAAAAGGGGTCACCAGTTATGACCCACCCAAAATCACTTCCTCAAACTAGGATGTGAGATGAGGGGAAGACATGAGAGGCCATCCTGTGGAAAGGACAGATGGTCTGGGTTCCCTGTCAGGTCCTCCTGCCTTAGGGAGCTGACTTGAGGTCCCATCACAAACATTGGGCCCAGGGGCCTTCTTGCCTCAGGACTTTGATCCATCATTCCTCTAGCCACTCTGAGTTGGCAGAGGAGGGCAGTGAATCTGAAAAACTCAGGCTGGAAGCACAGGCTTTGGATCCAGATGGATGAGTCACTCTCGCCCCTGAATATTAAGGTGTATGGTTTCAGGCAAGATACTTCCTCTCCCTGAATCTCATTTTCCTCCCCAGTGGCAAGGGATAGCAAGAACTCATGGCAACCTTATGGATAATAGAACAAAATGTTGCTGGTCCTGCACCATCCTCACAATCGTTGCTATGTTTGAGCCGACTGTTGCAGCCATTGTGTCAGTTCATCTTGTTGAGGGTCTTCCTCTTTTTCACCGACCCTTACTTTACCAAGCATGATGTTCTTCTCCAGGGACTGGTCCCTCCTGATAACATGTCCAAAATAGAAATACTGGGTCATACAAAGTGTTGATGATGGTTACCCCTAGATGGTGGGATTGGAGACAGTCTCATTTTCCCCTTTGGTGCTTTTTTGTGTTTCCCCAGATATCCTACTTTGAACATGTGTTACTTTTGTAATCGGGGGAGAAAGTAAATGTCAGGTTTTTTTTTTTTTAAGTTCTAATTTCTCAATATTTGATTTAGAGATAGCTCAAGTCAGGATTATGTGCTGAGTTGTAGGCTGGGAGAGATTGGAAAGGGATGGGGAGTACTGCTGAGAGAGGAGGACAATGCAGTCTGGGATCATTGCGGGCTGGGGCTCCATGAGGAGTGGCCGGGGTCTGCTGGGAAATGGGGGTACCTGCCCTAACTGTGTTAAGTTAACCAGGGGAGGGAGTTGAGAACAAGGAGAGGTCTCAGGACTAAACTGCTACTGCTTCATGGACCCCCTCCCTTGGACCCAGGTGGGAGGGTAGGGGCCTCATGATACCTCACCTTTTGTGACCCCTCCCCACACTGTGGTAACTATAATTGGGGAATTCATGGCTGTTCATGAAGGACCCAGGGACTGCCCACTGAAGGGCCAGAACAGCACTATCCCTTTGGACAGTATCTCCTGTCAGATTTACTCTTTGGGGGTGTGTGTGGGGGGGTGCTTTCCAGGAGGGAGAGTTCTGGGTCCTGATCCAAGGAGCAAGCTGGGCAAGCCCTCTCTGTCCCCTTGTTCCCTGGTTTTCTGAGCCAGAAGAGGGAGATTATATGTGGGGTTCTTTTCTCCCACCTGACCACCTCCCTCCATTTCTATCTGCTGGGTGGGGTGGGCAGGAGATGGTTCTTAGGAAGCCCCTGTAACCGAGCTGGGAGCAGGGACACCTGGGTTCTGCTGAACTTAAAAGCAGCCCCCCCTCACCCAGAGTTCACCAGGGGGGAAATCATCTCAGGGGTGGAGCAGTTGCTCAGGAGGTCCCTTCCCTTAACATCCGTCTTAGTTACCTAGTTCTATAACAGAAATACCACAAGTGGGTGGCTTTAACAAACAAATTTATTTTCTCACTGTTTAGAAGGCTAGAAGTCTGAAATCAGGGCACGGGCTCTAGGGGTAGGCTTTCCCTCTCTGTCAGCTCTGGGGGAAAGTCCTTGTCTCTCAACTTCTATTCCTTGTCTCCTTGGTGATCTTCATGTATCATGGCATCTATCTTCCCCCAGCTCTGCTTCTTCAATTCCTTGCTTAATCTGTTCCTTTTATATCTCAAAAGAGATTGACTCAAGACACACCCTACACTAATACTTTCTCATTAACATGACAAAGAAAACCATTCCCAAATGGGATTATAACTACAGGTATAGGGGTTAGGATTTATGACACATACTTTTGGGAGACACAGTTCAGTCCATAACAACATCCAAGCATTGCAGCAGGCCCTGGAGATCCAGCAGTGAACAAGGCCTACCTGCCACCAGAATTCAGTTGATAGAGGAGAAAGACAGGTGAAGAGGTTCATACAGCAACACAGTGACAAGCGCTCTGAGGGGGAAGCCCAGAGGAGGCACTGCTTGGCGTGATGGCATAACTTTCCAGAGGGAATCGCGACCATAGAGCACTGTGGTAGAGGCCCAGATACTGGCATCAGAAAGACCTGGACTTGTGGCTCTGGCAAGTGACTTGACCTCTAAGTTTCAGCTTCTCCCTGTAGTATCGACTACTTGCTGTTACCTGTAGTTGAGTCGGCCCCTGACTCATGGTAACCCCATGCACAACAGAGTGAAACGCTGCGTGGTCCTGCTCCATCCCCATGATCAGTTGGGGATTGGATTATTGTTAACCATAAGGTTTTCACTGGATGTTTTTTGGAAGTAGATCACCAGGCCTTTCTTCCTAGTCTGGAAGCTCAGCTGAGACCTGTTCAGCATCATAGCAACATGCAAGCCTCCACTGACAGATGAGTGGTGGCTGTGCCTGAGGTGTATTGGCTGGGAATCAAACCCGAGTCTCCTGCATGGAAAGCAAGAATTCTACCACCGAACCACCACTGGCCCCACTGACCACTTAGGGTTGTGGAAATGTAATGAGATAATACTGGTAAAACACTTATCTTGGTGCCTGGCACACAATAAGCTCTGAGTAATAGATGTAATAAATGTCTTTATTATTTTTATCAGCCAGCAAGACAGGCAAAGGAGTTGCGAGAAGTTATCAGAGTGTTCTGAGCAGAGGAAAGCCAGTGTGTTCAGTTAGGAATGCTCTTGGCTTCAAGTCAGAAAGCTGACAGTTGCTTAAATAAGTGGCTATTTTTTTCATGATGAAAATTCTGGATGTAAGCAACAATGGACCAGCAGCTCAGTGATATCTGGGGCTAGTGTCTTTGTGATTCTTTTGGTCTTTCGCTGCGTGGTTGCAATATGGCTGCCAAAGCATAAGACATCTTATCTGTGTTCAAGGCAGAAAGAAGGGGGAAGGGACATCTATGCCTTTTTTGTCAGGTAGTGACAAGTGCTTCAAAGTAATGGAGGTGGAGGACACTATTTTCGATGCAATCGTCAGTTTAAATAGAGAGAGGAATGAAGTTAAGGAATTCAGCTGTAGAATATCTTGGAAAAGTGGTCCAGATGACAGGAACCACTCAGTGCAAAGGCCCTGAGATGGGAATGTGCAAGATAACCTTGGAGGCAATTAAAGAAATTGGGTTATTGACTGGGTGTTAGATGATACTACGTGTCATGGATTGAATTGTGTCCCCCCAGTATATGTGTTAACTTGACTAGGCCGTGATTCCCAGTATTGTGTGGTTGTACTCCATTTTATGATCTGATGTAATTATCTTCCATTTTGTGATGTGTTATAAATCCTAGCCTCTATGCCTGTGGTTATGGTCCCATTTGGGAGTGAGTTGTCTGTTATGTTAATGAGGCAGGATTAGGGTGGGATGTATGTTGAGTCACTGCCTTACTATAGGGTGTGACTCAAGTCACCACTCTTACCACCCTTATTCAAGACATGCCCTTACTTGAGTCACACCTTTTACCTTTCAAGAGACAAAAAGAGACAGAAACAAGCAGAGATAGGGACCTCAGTACCACCAAGAAGAAGAGATGGGAGTGGAGCGTGTCCTTTGGGCCTGGAGTCCCTGCAGTGAGAACCTCCTAGAACCAGGGGACAGAGAGAGAGAGCTGTAACACTGGAGACTTTGCAACACAGCAAGAAGTGGCAGCAGAGAAACAGTGGCAGCAGAACCAGGAGACCTGTGCAAGAGGTGCGGGAGCCAACCCATGGAGCGAGAGAGCTGAGTGCCTTCAGGCAGGAGGCTTCCTGGCAGAGTGGGTGCCTCCGGGCATGTATCAGCAGAGCTAAAGTGCTTTGTAACACTTGCCTGAGCAGGGCAGAGGCTGGGCTGGTGAGAGACCTGCCTGCGGACATGGCTGAGAAGAGGTTGTCCTGATCAACCTGGACCTTCCTCCAGAGCCGACAGAGAGAGAAAGCCTTTCCCTAGAGACAGCACCCTAAATTCAGACTTCTAGCCTCCTAAAAGGAGAAAATACATTTCTATTTGTTAAAGCCATCCACTTGTGGTATTTCTGTTACGACAGCACTAGATAACTAAGACACCACGTAATGATGGTTACTTTTGTAGGTATGATAATTGTATTGTGATTATGCAAGAAAAATGCCCCCAATTTTTAGGGATACATAATAAAATCTGTAGGGGTGAAAGGACTTGGTGTCTGGAATTTGCTTTAAATTTCAATTTAAAATACTTTGGCGGAGGAATAGAAAAGCATAGATGAAGCAAATGTGGGAAAATCTTAATAATTGTTGAATCTGGGTATTGGGTATATGTGCTTTATTGTATTTTCCTACTGGAATATGTTTCACAGTTTTCATAAAAACTAACAAACAAAAATCCTCTAGGTATATAAAACCAAAAAACCTGTTGCTGTCGAGTTAATTCCAACTCATGGTGACCCCATGTGTGACAGAGTAGAACTGCTCCATAGGGTTTTCTTGACTGTAATCTTTACAGAAGCAGATCCCCAGGCTTTTCTTCTGCGGCACCTCTGGGTGGCTTCCAACCATCAATCTTTAGGTTAGTAGTCAAGCGCAAATCATTTGTGTCACATAGGGACCTCTCTAGGTGTGTGTGTGTGTGTGTGTGTGTGTATATATATATGGGTTTAAACTAGGATATATAATAAGATGTTGAGAAAAACTAGCCCTATTGCCAATTTCTCCTGTATTTACTATTCTCTGTCAAGAGAAGTAAGGTCCCTGGGTGGTGCAAATGGTTTGAGCTCAGCTACTAACCCAAAGGTTAATGGTTGGAACCAGCATGCCCAGAGGTGCTGTGGTGTATACAGATGTTTTTCTTTTTAAAACAGCTTTCAAGTCTCCAATCCCTGCTTGTGTGTGTGTATTAAAAATATATTTATTGCCATTGTAGACTCTTGGGGAAGTAATTTAGCACAATCTATTCAAAAGTAAATCTCATATGTCTTTTGACCTATCAGAGTGACTTCTGGTTATTTGTCTTATAGTGACCCCATAGGGTTTCCAAGGCTGTAAATCTCTATGGAAGCAGACTGCCACATCTTTCTCCTGAGGAGCCACTGGTGGTTTCAAACTACCGACCTTTTGGTTAGCAGTCGATCACTTTAAACACTGTGCCACCAGGGCTCCTTATAAAAACATAGGATATATATAAAAGAATGTTTACCCGCAATATTGTTTGCGGTAGCAACAAATCTGAATACCCATCAATATGGAAATGTTTGAATAAATCTTTTACTACCCTTATGAATTGCTATTTAAAAAATGAGTGATGATAGGAAAATTTCGGAATGGATAAGCGTGATGGTTGAACAACATGATAAACATTAATTAATGTCACTGAGCTGCACATGTGAAGAATGTTGAAGTGGAAAATGTATTGCTATATATGTGTGTATATATACGTATATGTGCGTATATATGTATATGGTGCCCTGGTGGAGCCTGGCCGCTAACCAAAAATGTGGGCAGTTCGAATCCATCAGCTGCTCGTTGGAAACTGTGGGGCAGTTCTGCTCTGTCCCATAGGGTCGCTATGAGTCAGAATAGACTCGACAGCAATGGGTTTGGGTTTTTTTTGGCGTATATATATATTTACCACAATAAAAGAATAATATATTTGGTGAGAGTGTCAACAGAGACAACCTTTATGGACGACAATTTGGCATTAACAAAACGAAAAATTCAACATGCCTTTTGAACAAGCTATTCCACTTCTACCAATTTATCCTAGTACACATACATAAAAAAGCATTATTAAGTTAAAAATAAGTAAAAAAGTAGAGACGGGCGGATTAACCAGTAGCAAGCTATGCATGTGTTTACTGGTGTTTACTTACTAATCTGTAGTGAACAATTCCACATAGGTTTTACCATATCAAAGATGAAAATAGGTGAAACGTACACTACAGATTAGTAAGTGAGCACAAGTAAACCCCTGCGTACCTTGTTTTTTGGGTAATCTCTACTACTGTGGAGCCCTAGTGGTGCAGTGGTTAAGAGCTCTGCTGCTAACCAAAAGGTCGGCAGTTCAAATCCACCAGCCGCTCTTGGAAATCCTATGGGGCAGTTCTACACTGTTCTATAGGGTCGCTATGAGTCAGAATCGGCTCGACGGCAATGGGATTTTGGTCTACTACTGTAGTAACCTTGTCCTCCGCCACGACCTTCGCTTCTGGTTCGGCCCCCACCTCGCTCCGCCCCTCCCCAGCCTCGTTCCTGCCCCAGTCAAGCCTTCAGGGCTTGGTGACCGTCCTCAGCCCCGCCCCTCAGCCTCCTCTACGCCCCCGACTCCGCTTACGGTGCCAGATTCCCGCGCCAGTCACGCCTGCCGGGATTGGTCGTCATTTACAGCCCCGCCCCCCGAGTCTCGTCCCCACCTCTAACCCCGCCCCCCGAGCCCGGTCTCCGCTTCTAACCCCGCCTTCCAAGCCTCGTCCGCCTCTAACCCGTTCCTCCGAGCCTCGTCCCCGCTGCTAACCCCGCTCCCCGAGCCTCGTCCCAGCCTCTAACCCCGCCCGCCGAGCCTTGTCCCCGCTTCTAACCCCGCCCTCCGAGCCCGGTCTCCGCTTCTAACCCCGCCCTCCAAGCTTCGCCTGCCTCTAACCCGTTCCTCCGACTCTCGTCCCAACCTCTAACCCCGCCCTCCGAGCCTTGTCCCAGCTTCTAACCACGCCCCCCGAGCCTAGTCCCTACTTCTAGCTCGGTCCTCCCAGACTTGTGCCTTGTGGGGTTCTCTGCACCTAGTCCTGACCCGGGGCTGATCCGGGCCCTGGTCTAACCACGTCCTCGCCAGCGGAAAGACGAGTCTCCCCTCCGGTGACTGGCGGCTGCGGCCGCCTCCCTGCTCGCACTCCTCTCAGTCCTCCACCTCCCGCAGCCTTGGGCGCCCTGAGGCGCCAGCCCCCGCGTCCTTTTAGCCGGAAGTGGAAGTGTGCTTCTGTGGGATCATGGCGTCTTTGACCGACCTGCCGGATTCTGTCCTGTTGGAGATTTTCTCTTACCTCCCGGTCCGGGACCGGATCCGCATCTCCAGGTGCGGCTCCGCCCCTCGGGGGGAAAGGACGGGAGGGGGGCGCACCCGGAGATGCAGATTGGTCTTGGCGGGGCCGGGGTCGTTCTAACGGCGGGTCCCCTCCCCCAGGGTCTGTCACTGCTGGAAGAGGCTGGTGGACGACCAATGGCTGTGGCGACACGTCGACCTGACGCTCTACACGGTATGCGGGGAGGGCGGGAGGACCACTCCTGCCGCCCTGGGGCGGTGTGTTGGGGTTCGAGCTCGGGTTTGCGAGACGGCCCCATCCCGGCCCCATCGCTTAACTCTCCTCTGCGACCTCGGGTAGGTTACCCAGTCCCTGTGAGCCTCAATTTTCCCAACTCCAAAGTGGGCATAAAAAACAGTACCTGTCTCAGGGACTATAGTGAGGATTCACTGAGATCGTACAGGGAAAGGGCTTAGAGCAGTTTCTTCATATAGTCAGCATTACAATAAATACATTAGCGCTGGGCTGCTAACTAAAAGGATGGCGGTTCCAGCCCACTCAGAAGTGCCTGGGAAGAAAGGCCTGGCGAACTACTTCCGAAAAACAGACTGTTGAAAACCCTTTGGAGCACAGTTCTGTCCTGACACACATGGGCTCAACATGAGTCTGAATCGATTCCAGGGCAACTGGTGGTGATGGTGGTATGCTTACATTATCAAGTAGTAACTATTAATGGATAAACCATTTTTCAGAGTCAACTTAATTTCCAGAATTAATTTTCAGAATAGTGCAACCTAACCATTCCCATGCTCTCCCATTAACATTTTGTTTCTTTAGTTTTTCTTATGAAATATTTCAAATATCCAGATATACATAACCCATTGCCGTCGAGTCGATTCCGACTCATAGCGACCCTACGGAACAGAGTAGAACTGCCCCATAGGGTTTCCAACGAGCGGCTGCTGGGTTCCAACTGCTGACCTTTTGGTTAGCAGCCGAGCTCTTAACCAGTGCACCACCAGGGCTCCCCAGATACACAAAGAGGATACTCTGACCAACAACCACATACTCACCATCTAGATTTAACCTATTTTAACTTTTGGCCTTGTTTGCTGCAGATTGTCCATGTGTGCACATATACAGTGAAACCTGTGAGAGTCAAAGGACTGCCTTGTTGTTCCGGGTCTTGGAAGTTTTCCACTTTTGACAGGGTGCAGTCTTACTACTTTTCTACTGCTCCTTTCAGTGGAAACTATTTGTGTTTTCCCTCTCTAACAGGTTTCTGCCTTACACAGGTTCCAGCTTTCACAGATTTTACTGTGCGTATAAAACATTATAGATTTTTTTTTGTACTTTTTGAAACTCCTCAGAGGTAACCACGATCAAGTGGTTTTGTATCCTTCCTTTCATGTTTTTATTTCCTGTGTGTCTGTTAGTAATATACAATATTGCTAATATGTTTTTCAAGTTCAGATAATGCTATTCTACTATTTAGCTTATGGTATCCTACTGTACGGAGCCCTGGTGGTGCAGTGGTTAAGCACTCAGCTGCTAATCTAAGATTGGTGGTTCAAATGCACCAGCTGCTCTTCGGGGGAAAGATGTGCCAGTCTGCTTCCATAAAGACTACAGCCTTGGAAACCCTGTGAGGCAGTTCTACTCTGTCCTATAGGGTCGCTATCAGTTGGAGTTGACTTGATGGCAACGGGTTTATCCTATTGTATATCTTTGTCTACAACTGGCTTTATTTACACCACATTGCTTTTGAGATTTATTTTTATTGGCACATGTAAATCTAGTTAATTCCTTTGAACTGCTATTTAAGGAATACATCACAATTTGTTTATCATTTTTCTCTTAATATACATTTGGGATTGCTATGGATTGAACTGTGTCCCCCCAAAATATGTGTTGTAAATCCTAACCCCCATGCCTGTGGTTATAATCCCATTTGGGAATGGGTTTACTTTTTGTGTTAATGAGACAGTATTAGTTTAGGATGTGCCTTAAGTCAGTCTCTTCTGAGATTCAAAAGAGCAGATTAAACAAGCAGCTAGCATGCAGAGATGGGGCAAGATAGATGCCATGCCATCTGCAGATCACCATGATCGCCAAGGAATAGAAGCTGAAAAGACTCAAGGACCTTCCCCGAGATCGGAGAGCCTTCCTCTAGAGCTAGCACCCTGAATCCAGACTTCTAGCCTCCTTAACTGTGAAAAAATACATTTCTGTTTGTTAAAGTCACCTACTTGTGGTATTTCTATTATAGCAGCACTAGATAACTAAGACAGGTTATTTCCAACTTTTTGCTATTGCAAACTTGGGGATCTTGTTAAAGTGCACATTCTGATTCACTAGGTCTGGGGTGGGGCTGAAGATTCTGTATTTCTAACAAACTCCCAGGTTTTGCCTATGTTGCTGGTCCTTGTTCCACACATTGTAAAAAGAGTGCCCTTGTGTCTGTCTCCTAGTGTCCAGATTTGAGCTACCCTGAAACCTGGAAGTGCAGTCTCTGAGGGGTAGGGTCATTTGTGTTTTACAACATCTACAGTTCTTTATTTGCAATTCCAAAATCAAAAAGCTTGGAAAGTGAAAAGTTTTTTTTGCAAGCTTGGCATAAATTCATTTGGTGATCAACCTGACCTGAACTGGTTTGAGGCTATTAATGTTTTTTCCCTATCCCACTTAGAATAAATATTCTTATGTTATACTGAAAAATATTAACCTGATTATGGGGTGCTGCCTTAGACCACACTGATGGTATTATATATGGTAATTGCACCATATTAATTCTGATTTCTAAAACCCATCTGGCCCCAAGGGTTTTAGAGAAGGGATTGTTACTCTGTATAGAAGTTTTCATTGATATCAACTTTTTAAATGTTTATTTTTTATGTGTTAGTTATTTTTTCCCAGTGTTTTATTATGAGAATTTTCAAGCACATGTGAAAGTTAAAAGAGTACTATAGAGAACACCAAGACACCCACCAATAATATTTTACTATATTTGTTTTATCACCTATATATCCATCCTTCCTTCTTTCCATCCATCTTGTTTTTTCGATGCATCTCAAATGAAGCTGCAGACATGAGTCTGCTTCATTCTGAAAGTTTAGCATATACATCATTAGCAAGAGCCTACCATTTGTTTATAGTTCTCTCTTTTTGAGGTATAATTTTCACACTTTGTTGTTGTTGTTAGTTGTCTTCAAGTCAATTCCAACTCCTGGTGATCCCATGTGTGCAGGGTAGAACTGTTCCACAGAATTTTCAAGGATTGACCTTTTGGAAGTGGATCACTAGGCCCGTCTTCTCAGGTGCCTCTGGGTGGGTTTGAACTGCTAACCTTCTGCTGGTAGTAGAGTGCTTTAACCATTTGCGCTTGTCACCCATGGACTTCTAATTTACATACTAGTGAAAGTTAATTAAGAAGCTTGGGTGGCACAGTGGTTAAGAGCTCAGGGTGCTAACCAAAAGGTTGGCAGTTCGAATCCACCAGCTGCTCCTTGGAAACCCTATGGGGCAGTTGTCCTCTGTCCTGTAGGGTCGCCATGTGTCAGAATTGACTCCATGGCAATTGGTTTGATTTTTTTTTGGTTTGGTGGCTTAGTGGTTAAGCGCTTGGGTGCTAACTGAAAGGTTGTTGTTCGAACCCACCAGCGACTCCGAGGGAGAAAGATGTGGCAGTCTGTTTCTGTAACGATTTACTGCCTTGGCAACCCTATGGGGCAGTTCTACTCTGTCCTATAGGATCGCTATTAGTTGGAATCAACTCGAGGGCAGTGGGTTTGGTTTTGTTTTTTGGTGGAAAGTTAATTTAAAAAAATTACACACCATGAATAATTCTCCTTGTAAAAACACTGAAATATTACCACAGATGAAGCTAGAGGCCTTTGACAGTTATTCCCTGGTGCTGTCTCCCTTCCCCAGAATAACCACTGTTAACAGCTTGATATTTCCTTCCAGCCCATCTTCTATGCATTTACACCCATGTGGCTGTATAGGACTGGAAAATGCAGAGGTCACCAAGAGCGAGATGGGGCTTTGGAGTAAGGCTATGTTTAAGTATTAGCTCTACCGTTTACTTGCAAATGAGATTCTGGCCAAGACTTTTCCCTTGGTGTACCTGCTGCATGACCAGGTCCTGCCTGAACTTTCTAGTTCAATGCTAAGCACTGCACCTGGCAAACAGTAGGTGATAAATGTTAGCCATTATTATGGGAATAATTATACCCATATGTCTTAGTTATCTACTGCTGCTGTAACAGGTATACCACAAGTAGATGGCTTTAACAAACAGAAATTTGTTTTCTCACAGTTTAGGAGGCTGGAAGTCCTAATTCAGGGCGCCAGCTCCAGGGGAAGGTTTTCTTTCTCTGTGGGCTCTGGGGGAAGGTTCTTGTCTCTTTTCAGCTTCTGTTCCTAGGTTCCTAGATGATTGTGTGGCATGTATCTTCCACTCTGTTTGTGCTTACTTTCTTGCTTGCTTAATCTGCTCTTTTATATCTCAAAAGAGATTGATTAAGGCACCAAAAAAACCCGCTGCCATCAAGTCTATTCCAACTCATAGTGACCCTATAGGACAAAGTGGAACTGCCCTATAGGGTTTCCAAGGCTGTCATCTTTATGGAAGCAGACTGCCACATCTTTCTCCTGTGGAGCCGCTGGTGGGTTCAAACCACCGACCTCTGGGTTAGCAGCCAAGCACTTAACCATTGTGCAAACAGGGCTTCATGATTTAAGACACACTGTACGTTAATACTGCCTCCTTGACATAACGAAGAAGGCCCATTCCCAAATGGGATTATAACCACAGGAATAGGGGTTAGGATTTACAATACATATTTTTGGGGTACACAGTTCAACCCCTGATACCATGTAAAATATATTGTATTGTTTTTTTCCCTCTTGGTTTCATGGTATCATTTTGTTTTATTGTGCTAAGTATATATGTAAGAAAACATTTACCGTCTCAATATTTTTAACATGTACAGTTCAGTGACATTAATTATATTTAATAATTAATTCAATCAAGATGCATTGATAATTATTGGTGATTGGAATGCAAAAGTTAGAAACAAAGAAGAAGGATTGGTAGTTGGAAAATATGACCTTGGTGATAGAAACAACCCTGGAGATTGCATGATAGAATCTTGCAAGACCAACGACTTATTCTTTGCAACTACCTTTTTTCAACATAAACGGCTACTACCTCGCTGGATGAAATACACAGG